TACACAAAAAGAATCTTTCCTGAGAATTCCTCATCACAATCCTATGCTCATGTGAGTTTGAAGTTGAAATTCGCCTTGCAAAAATAATCTTAATCTAAAGGTTTGGTTTAATGATGCTTTTGGTTTGGGGTGCCTCAGATCCTAGCAGAAAAATAGAAGTTTTCTCTGAAGAAAGGTGCTTTAAACATTGACTTCGAAGAATTCCTACAGTTAAAGATCTAAGAAATGTGAGTTTAAAATTAGAACTCTAAATGTGTGAATAAGACCAGCCTGGGCAACATAGTGAGACCACCATCTCTAAAAAACACAAAACAGCAGCAACAATAACAAAAAATTTTATGATACTCTTCTTCAGTAACTTGCATTTTTCACCCAACAATTTTCTAAGATTCATCCTTATTGAAATCTTTACCACAAATTATTCATTGTCTTTGTTAGGACATTGTGTAAATATACCACAGTTTATCTGTTTATCCATTTCGGCTATTCCTAGTTTTTGCTATTATAGATAGTGCTGCTACAAATATTCTTAATAATGTCTTTCCTGGTGATGATATGTAAAAGTTTCTCTAAGATTTATTCACAGATTGTAATATCTATCTGTATGTATATATGTATATGTAAAGAAATATATATTCAGTTTTATTTCAAAATACTAAATTGTTTTAAAATTGGTACCAGTTTATGTGCCAACACTTACTACTGTTCTCATAGTTCTACATCATTTCTGAAATTTTACATTGTCAGTTTTACATTTTGCCTAACTGTTGGATATGAAATACTAATTTGTGGTTTTAAGTTGCATTTCCGTGACTACTACTGAGGTTGAGCATCTTTTCCTGTATTTATAAACCACTTATGTTTCCTCTTTTTGAAGTGTCCCTTATGGTTATTTTTTCTATTGGGTTTTGTGTTTCTTTCTGATTTATAGTTCTTCAGATATTTTGAGTACTAGTCCCTGGTAAATTAATTAAATTAATATCTACACAGTAGCCAAGTTAGATCATCTGAGAATTATCTTTGAATTGTTCTTCTCCTTTATCCCTTAAAGATAATCATTGCTAACATGAATCAACATTTACTATGTATCAGACATCTTTCTGAGTACCTTACTTACATTGTCTCATTTAATCCTTAAAGCAGTCTTATATGTTAAGGCAGGAGGGACCGGTTTTGTGGAAGACAATTTTTCCACAGATGCGGCAGGGGTAGGGGGATACTTTGGGGATGAAACAGTTTCACCCCAGATCATTCCAGATCATCAGACATTAGTTTGATTCTCATTAGGAGCGTGCAGCCTAGATCCCTGATATGCACAGTTCACAATAGGGTTCGCGCTCCTATGAGAATCTAATGCTGCCCTGATCTGACAGGAAGCAGAGCTTGGGTGGTAACGCTTGCTCACCTTCACTCACCTCCTGCTGGGCAGCCTGGTTCCTAACAGGCCAAGAATGGACACTAGTCCGCAGGCCAGAGGTTGGGAACCCCTGTGTTAAGATACCATTTTAATTTTTATTTTGCAAATGAGGAATTTGAGGCACAGAGAAATTAAACATTTGATTAAGGTCACACAGCAGTGCTTCAGTTTGAACCAAAGAAGTCTGCTCTGAAACTTGTATTTTATTTTATTTTATTTTATTTTATTTTATTTTTTTGAGAGAAAGTCTTTCACTCTGTCACCCAGGCTGGAGTGCAGTGGTGCAATCTCAGCTCACTGCAGCCTCTACCTCCCAGGTTCAAGTGATTCTCCTGCCTCAGCTTCCTGAGATGGTTCATTCTGGGTGAACGGTCAGAGATACTATAGAAGACTTTTGAAATAAAGGAATGTCATCTCCCTAGTAGTCCTGTGGAATAAGTGTTTTCCTCTATAAAAAGTAAAAAAATGCTTTGCAGTAAAGTGTTTGTGTCTAGAGCATTCTTTTTAGGGGGATAGTTTTTTTATGCAATGGGATCTTAGTGGCAGCCAATTAGAGTATCTTTATTTTATAGACCGTAAAGACAGGGAGTAATTTCCCTGGTTGTTCACAAGCTGTCAAGAATGGTTTCAGGTAAACCAACCCAAATGCCCATCAATGATAGACTAGATAAAGAAAATGTGGTACATATATACCATGGAACACTATGCAGCCATAAAAAGGAATGAGCTCATGTCCTTTGCAGAGACATGGATGAAACTGGAAGCCATCATCCTCGGCAGCCTAACATAAGAACAGAAAACCAAACACTGCATGTTCTCACTCGTAAGTGGGAGTTGAACATTGAGAACACATGCATACAGAGAGAGGCACAACACACACCAGGGCCTGTGGGTGGTAAAGGAAGGGAACTTAGAGGGCGAGTCAGTAGGTGCAGCAAACTACTATGGCACATGTATACCTATGTAACAAACCTGCACATTCTGCACATGTATTCCGTTTTTTTGTTTGTTTTTAGAATAAAAAGTAAATAAAAATTTTAAGAAAAAAAAAAAAGAATGGTTCCATGTACAACCTGAGTTTCCCAGGCTTGATACAAATGAGGTTCACATTTTATAGCCTTTTGCCCTTACTTGCAGACACCAATAAAATGTTCCATAAGAGTTCCTGAGGTCTTTTCAGTTACCAACAGCTAGCTAAGTGCGGTATCAGAAATACCAGAATTCTAGAGATTGGGATTTAAGTACTTCTCTGTATTTTCAGAAATTTTTCCCTAGAAATGTTTCTCATACACGCCCATAAATGTGTCCCTTCCATCTGTGATCTCTCTCTGTTTCTCTCTTGCTCGCTCGCTTTCTCACTCTTGTTCACTGTCTCTCTTGCTCTCTCTCTCTCTTGCTGAATACTACTAACCGATGCACCAGAAAGGGGCCAAAACTGCTAGCCATCTGACTCCCCCTCCATTGTCATATAACATCTTACACAAAGCAGGGAAGCTAATGCCTTGATATTTTATAGAGATATTGATGAAACATTTCTCAGTTTTTATTTAAACTCTCTCTCTTTTTAGAACCCACATTTGAGTCATGGCACTAGGTCAGAGATAAATTAAAATGACCACCACCATAGTCTACTCAGAATCACTCCTCCTCTCCTTAGCCATGTAAGGCCTTTTGTAGTTATTTCGCCTTCCTTCAGAGTGAGTTTTTCTCCCGGGATGCTTCAGTGCTTTATATAAATAAGCTTCTAGTAGGCTTATGAACTTGTTTACAACATAGGACCAGATTATAAGGGTTAAGCTGAGATCCCATTACAATGAAAATCTCTGAGCTCTGTGTCACAATATCACTTGTCCTCTCGTTTCTTTACTGTTTTCTTTTTCTTCATCTTGTTTTTATCCTATCAGTGGGTTATTCTGCTTGTGCCCACTTTAATATGTGTCTACACATTTAATTTAAATAAACTGTAGTTTAATTTTTAACTTACTGGCAACCTTCTAACTAGTCATTATTTCATATACATTAAAAACCTCAAATTTGGACCAGTTTTTTAATTGGTACAATATCCAGTTTGTGAAATAATATTGTACTTAGGTCAGAGGAAGCAGAGATATCCCAAGGACTTCAGTGTGTAGTGACGAATAGCAAAATTTCATTCTTTCTATCATTGGAGAAACCCACCCGGAGCTGAAAACTGAGTCCGATATCTTGAGTAGCTCCAGTGTTCTTGGGATAGCTTTAACCGCTTACCTCTCTCTAAAGACGTACAACCATCTTCAGGACTTACGTACTTTAGGGCCTTACCTCCACTTTCTAGTGAGCCAGCTGTGACTAATGTTGATCTCTTGTTTTTTGAGGGAACAACTTAGACAGATGCGGTATCCCATGGGACAGTGTCTGAGATAGCTGGTACTAACAACAATAGCAAAATATGGTTGCCTTGCAAGAACAAAAAACATCAAGTATCTTAGCAAACCTTAGGCTTTAAAGCCTCTAATTTAGACCAATCAGAATATTCTAGGAGATAGCCAATCATGGCAATGGCTAAAGTAGAAAATTCTAGGAAGTGAAGTGTGCCTTCTGCTCTTCCAGAAAATATAATCCTGGGACGTGCCTGCCTTTCTTGTCTTGTGAATTGAGGCGGTAGTGAAATCATGGAAAATGTACAACTCTCAAAAATCAAAATAAGCTAATGTTATTGTGTAATTCTTGGATTTACATATTGAAGCAAGCTTTCTTAAAATTCTGCCAGTGAGTTATTTTTTTGTGAGCAGTTATCACCTTATGTGATTATGAATTAATTTAATTAACATTGACTAGAATCTATTAAAAAATAGAATACATTTCTAAAATATTTAAATTGCAGAAAGGATAATAAAATGATTTGGAAATTTTAGACCAAAAATTACCTGCTAAAATGGTTAAAAGGGCTCTCTTACCAAAATAAAAACAGCAACAAAATAAAAACTAGACTAACAAAACTAAGTAGTCTCGATTCTTCAGATTTGGAAACTTTCTAATCTAGATGACTAAAATGCTAATACACTAAGCAGAGATGTGTCTTATTCAAAGGTTAGATTCTGATATTTCATATATCCAAAATTACCCTTGAAAATCCTTTAGGAAGCCATACATTAGAATTCAACAATCAGTATTAGAGAATCAGTGTATATTATTGGCTTGTTTTTAAAAGCTCTGTTGTCTTTTAGAATATGTACTTTCTCTTTAAATCCTAGAGTCACACTGCTTGTAGAGCGATGCTCAGACTATGAGAGATATATAGGATTTGTGAGTTACTGAGAAACCAGTAAATTCACGGCACTCATGTCATGCTTACTCCAGGGTATATGATTATTGAAAATCAGGCAGAATTGTCTATACTACTTACACAAGAAATAGTAATTTTTCTTTCTTTTATTGCCAGGCTTATTAGAGCTGAATTTATAATTAAGTTCCTAAAGATACAACTCCACAGTATATGATTATGTTGTTATGTTGAAGTTTCACCTGAATTTTTATATAATGCGTTCACCCTCAAAATAGGAAAAAATGATACTATATTATATTGTTCCTTTATTCTCTACAGATAATGGATTCTGAGTTAATGCATAGTATAGTGGGAAGCTATCATAAACCTCCAGAAAGAGTATTTGTTCCCTCATTCACCCAGAATGAACCATCTCAGAATTGCCATCCTGCGAACTTAGAGGTTACCTCTTCTAAGATACTTCATAGCCCAAATAGCCAAGGTAATGCTGATATAGAATTTGAAGAATGGTAAAAAGCTTGCTATAAAAAACCTTTCGTATTTATGTGGAATACAATATGATTGTATATATTTAATCTTAACAAAACTCCTAATTTTGATTCTGTTGCTAAAAGTTTCTATGAACTTAGACAAATTACTTGACATTTTTTATTTTGGCTTCTACAGCCATAAAATGAAGATTAATATAACCAGCTGGACACATATCACAGGGTTATCATAAAAACATCATTTGAAAACAGGAAAATACTCTTTGAAGAATAAAAGGTCAGATTTGGAATCCTTCTAAACCACATGATTAGAATGTTAGCGAATTAAATGGAATTGCATCTTATTCAAGAATTAGATTCAGAAATTGCATACATCCAAAATTATTCTTGAAAATATTTTAGGAAGCCAGTATATCAGAGTAACTACAAAATACTAGTATTTTAATGTTTAAAATAGAAATGTAGGAGGATCTTAAAGTTGAATTAGGAAAACATTGTATTACTCCAGGCATATTTTAAGCTGTGCAGATTCCTTTCTAAGATTCTGTTATCACCTACTTTTGAAATATTCTATAATAATGGTTGCTGTTAATAAATAAACTAGTTTTGTGGAATAAACTATAAGAAATAATAATGCAAATCAATGTGCCAGCTACAGATACCATGTAAAGAGGAATAAATATAATTTATTTATCTCATTTATAAAAATCAAATGGTAATCTCTAGCAAGCATCTTTCTAATTTGATATAAAGTATATGACAGTTAAAACTCTTAACTTATCTGAATCATGAAGATATTAATATAGTTGAATACAAGTCACAGTGGTATAGTGTACTATTATCTTTCAGGTCTGACATTAGGTAAACCATTAGGTTATAATTATCCTGTTTCTTAATACTGTATCATGGACAAAGAAACAGTAAATATGTGTGATTTGACTAAAATGGAATACATCAAGAACTGAGAAAAAAACCTTTAACTTTAAACCTAAATTGCCATGTTAATTAGTAGAAATTATATTTTAATGTTCCTTACTCATATTCAGACACTTATGCTCCCTAGACTACATTGTCTTCTTTAAGTCCTTTCATTTGAAAATATTTATTTTATTAAATTAAAATCATGGTTATTACCTTTCTCAGTCTTAGAAATCACTAAATACAATCATAGATATATTGTTTTTACAAGATATATTAGAGAAAATGTGCCCTTCTTTAAAGTGTTATTCATTATTTTTCATTTTTTGAAGAATATGCATTACTTGTACATTTTTCTGGCTCACTAACAAAAATATACTGCTTATTTTTCTTATGTTACTTTGATTGTAAGTGTTCAGAAACTTTCACTGAAAATATCAACAAAATATTTTTTCAACAGCTCTTATTTTAGCCTTAAAAACTCTTCAGGAAAAAATTCATCATTTAGAGCTGGAGAGAACACAGGCTGAAGATAACCTGAACATTCTTTCCAGAGAAGCAGCGCAGTATAAGAAGGCCTTAGAGAATGAAACAAATGAGAGAAATCTGGCACACCAGGAGCTGATAAAGCAGAAAAAAGGTAAGAAATGCAGTAGTTCTCAGAAACCAGGAGTTACCAGAGTATACAGTTCAAAAATAATAAACCTAGTCTAAGCCGATGTACTCAGATATCTTTGTTCTTATATATATTCAAACTTTGTGGCTTTGTTCTCAGACCTTTTGATATTTGTGAGAAAAAGATACAGTTTTGAACTTACCTCTATCATATCTAACTTAGCATAATTCATAAATTCTAGAAATTAAAGGAAAAATTAAGATTTTAGACAAGTTGTGTTTAAAAATTAGAATATTTTCAGAATAACCAACAAAATCCAATTTAACCTGTAATTGAATATTTATTTTTTATTTATTTGTATTTGCAGTTAACACTAAACTTTAGAATTTGAAATACAGAACAACACTAGCAATTAAACAATATAAAAACCAATAAAAATGAATACAAAAGAATTATTTATTTATTTATTATTATTATACTTTAAGTTCTAGGGTACATGTGCATAACGTGCAGGTTTGTTACATATGTATACTTGTGCCATGTTGGTGTGCTGCACCCATCAACTCGTCAGCACCCATCAACTCGTCATTTACATCAGGTAGAACTCCCAATGCAATCCCTCCCTCCTCCCCCCTCCCCATGATAGGCCCCGGTGTGTGATGTTCCCCTTCCCGAGTCCAAGTGATCTCATTGTTCAGTTCCCACCTATGAGTGAGAACATGCGGTGTTTGGTTTTCTGTTCTTGTGATAGTTTGCTAAGAATGATGGTTTCCAGCTGCATCCATGTCCCTACAAAGGACACAAACTCATCCTTTTTTATGGCTGCATAGTATTCCATGGTGTATATGTGCCACATTTTCTTAATCCAGTCTGTCACTGATGGACATTTGGGTTGATTCCAAGTCTTTACTATTGTGAATAGTGCCGCAATAAACGTACGTGTGCATGTGTCTTTATAGCAGCATGATTTATAATCCTTTGGGTATATACCCAGTAATGGGATCTTTGAGGAATCGCCATACTGTTTTCCATAACGGTTGAACTAGTTTACAATCCCACCAACAGTGTAAAAGTGTTCCTATTTCTCCACATCCTCTCCAGCACCTGTTGTTTCCTGACTTTTTAATGATCGCCATTCTAACTGGTGTGAGATGATATCTCATTGTGGTTTAGATTTGCATTTCTCTGATGGCCAGTGATGATGAGCATTTTTTCATGTGTCTGTTGGCTGTATGAATGTCTTCTTTTGAGAAATGTCTGTTCATATCCTTTGCCCACTTTTTGATGGGGTTGTTTGTTTTTTTCTTGTGAATTTGTTTGAGTTCTTTGTAGGTTCTGGATATTAGCCCTTTGTCAGATGAGTAGATTGCAAAAATGTTCTCCCATTCTGTAGGTTGCCTGTTCACTCTGATGGTAGTTTCTTTTGCTGTGCAGAAGCTCTTTAGTTTAATTAGATCCCATTTGTCAATTTTGGCTTTTGCTGCCGTTGCTTTTGGTGTTTTAGACATGAAGTCTTTGCCCATGCCTATGTCCTGAATGTTACTACCTAGGTTTTCTTCTAGGATTTTTATGGTATTAGGTCTAACATTTAAGTCTCTAATCCATCTTGAATTAATTTTCGTATAAGGAGTAAGGAAAGGATCCAGTTTCAGCTTTCTACTTATGGCTAGCCAATTTTCCCAGCACCATTTATTAAATAGGGAATCCTTTCCCCATTTCTTGTTTTTGTCAGGTTTGTCAAAGATCAGATGGCTGTAGATGTGTGGTATTATTTCTGAGGCCTCTGTTCTGTTCCATTGGTCTATATCTCTGTTTTGGTACCAGTACCATGCTGTTTTGGTTACTGTAGCCTTGTAGTATAGTTTGAAGTCTGGTAGCGTGATGCCTCCAGCTTTGTTCTTTTGACTTAGGATTGTCTTGGAGATGCGGGCTCTCTTTTGGTTCCATATGAACTTTAAAGCAGTTTTTTCCAATTCTGTGAAGAAACTCATTGGTAGCTTGATGGGGATGGCATTGAATCTATAAATAACCTTGGGCAGTATGGCCATTTTCACGATATTGATTCTTCCTATCCATGAGCATGATATGTTCTTCCATTTGTTTGTGTCCTCTTTTATTTCACTGAGCAGTGGTTTGTAGTTCTCCTTGAAGAGGTCCTTTACATCCCTTGTAAGTATACAAAAGAATTGTATTTAACTTGAGAGGAAAGCAAAGTTAATTAGAAGACATAGGCAAATGGGGGAGGCTTCTGTGGAAATTAGGAAAAATGTTAGAAATTTAGAACATAAGTCTTTTACATAATTTCACTTCAAAACTTACAACCTTCTTTTTCATTTTTACACTACACTTATCCTTATAAACAAGGCTCAAGTTTTTGTTTCAACTTAGAAGTACAGTGAAGAAATGGGGAGAAAAATATTTCTGAGGTAATTGGACAAAAGTAGAAGAAAGGGGTAAGGAAAGTAAAGAGCTAAAGGATTAGAAATAGGTTGCTTTCTGCTGTGGAATTAGCTGTTCTGCCAGCAGTCAGGAACAGGGGAAAATGAGAGTGGTAGATGCATATACTTGAGTTTCCTGAAAGAGAAGAAATATACTGATAGGTAAAAAAGCTTTCAGCCTCTGTTTTTCCAGATGATGTTATTTTCATTTACAACCAGGATATTTATCACCCCACAAGTTACTGACATCCTCCTCTTTCAGAAGTGTGCCCTCTGGATTTTTAGGAGGAGACAATATTAAACCAGTTCTATGTAATTAATGAGCTATTTACAAATGTATTTTCATAACTCTGGGAGAGTCAATACTCAGAGATAAAAGAGACTCTGAACTTTTAGCTCTTGATTGAATTCACATAATACATTTCTTGTGATAACCAAATCTCTGATCTATGTGATAATCAAGTAATTGACTGGTTATTATTTTGTCTTTTTCATAGATATAAGTATACAGTTAAGCTCAGCCCAGTCTCGTTGTACTCTTCTAGAGAAGCAACTAGAATATACAAAGAGAATGGTTCTCAATGTAGAGCGAGAAAAGAACATGATCCTAGAACAACAGGTGAGAGCATATTTTCTATAAGGAATGATAATATAATTTTGTATCTTTTTGAAGAATATTTTAATGTCATGGGAAAATTCAAAGGCAAAAGAGGCATAATGTTAGAATGAGGTCTAACTTATGTGTAATTGGAGTTTCAAAAGGAAAGGAAAGGGAAAATAGGGGAAAAGCAATATTTGAAGAGATAATGGCTAAGAATGTTACAAAATGTATTAAAAAGTAAAATTACTAACCTGGCCAACATGGTGAAACCCCATCTCTACTAAAAATACAAAAATTAGCCGGGCTTGGTGGCAGGCACCTATAATCCCAGCTACTCAGGAGGCTGAGGCAGGAGAATCGCTTGAACCCGGGAGGTGGAGGTTGCAGTGAGCTGAGATCGTGCCACTGCACTCCAGCCTGGACGACAGAGCAAGACTCTGTCTCAAAAAAAAAAAAAAAAAAAAAAAGTAAAATCTTAAAAGCATCCAGAAAAAAAAAATATTACATTCAAAGAGACGACAATTAAAGTGATAGCTGACTTCTCAACTGAAAGTACTGAACCCAGAAGACAAGGGACTGATAGAGTTAAGGTGTTTAAAGAAAATAAATACTGGTCTAGAATTCTATGCTTGGGGGAAGTATCCTTCAGAAATAAAGACATTTTAAGACTAAAAAGACTGAGATAGTTTGTTACTAGTAGGTCCACTCTAAAGAGAACACTAAAGGATATCAGACAGAAGGAAAATGACCTTTGGTGGAAGGTCAGAGATGCATGAAGGAATGAAGAGCAATGAAGATGGTAAATAATGTGGATAAATCTAAATGAATATTGTATAAGGCAACAATAATTAAGATTTGTATGGTTTAAATATAAAGAATTAAAATTCATCAGAACAATGGCTTATATATTAGGAAGAAGTAAAGTAGTTTAAAGTGTTCTAATATCCTTGCATTTTCTTGGCAGAAGGGTAAAAGTACCAATCACTACTGGATTTTGATGGGTCAAATACATAACAGATTTTTAAGGAACCAGGGAATTTAATTCTAACATTTATATGGAAACGCCAAGGTCCAAGAACAGCCAAACTATTCTGAAGAAGAATAAGATGAGGGTCTTTCTCTAGTTGATATTGAAACAAATTATGATCCTTTTTAATAACTGCTCTGTGAACTAAAATATGTATTCTTAACTAACCACAGTCTGCCATAAATCTGTATTAAAATATTTCACATATAATGTAGGATCCTCTTTCAATATGCGTCCTCTTATTCACCTTTGTGCTATAGTTTTCATACATTTTATTTCTGCATATGTCATACGACCCACAATACATTATTATTTTTGCTTCAAATGGTCAATTATCCTTTCAGGAAAATTAGGAAACAAAAATATATATTTTTTACCATTTTCTGTGCTTTTTATTTTTGTGTAGATTTTGTTTTCCATTTGATACCATTTTCCTTCCATCTGAAGGAAAATATCAGAATGCTAAGAATTGTCTTAGCATTTATTTATCTGGAAAAGTCTATTTCTCTGTCATTTGTGAAAGATATTTTGGCTGGATATAGAATTCTAGGTGGCATCTTTTCTTCTTTCAGCACATTGAAGATTATGTTTCTGTTGCCTTCTGGATCTCATAGTTTCTAATCAGAGTTCTTCTCTTTATTCCTCTATGCAGAATGTGTCATCATTTCTCAGACTGCTGTTAAGATTTTCCCGTTTATCACTGGTTTTCAACAATATGTTGCTAAGTGGTTTCTTAATGCTTGAACCTTTTGAGATTCTTGAATCTGTCAATATTTTTCATTAAATTAGAACATTTTCAACCATTATCCTTCAAATAATTATTCTGTCCCACCTCTCTCTCTTCTTCTCTGAGACTTCACCTAAATGTTATTAAACCACAGGTTACCAAGACTCTGTTTATTGGTATTGTTTTTGGTTTTGTTTTAATTAATAGACTTTATCTTTTTTATTTTTTATTTTTGGGGTCAGAGTTCCAGTGTTGTCTCACAGGCTGGAGTGCAGTGGCGCAATCTTGGCTCACTGCAACCTCCGCCTCCTTGGTTCAAATGATTCTCCTGCCTCAGCCTCCCAAGTAGCTGGGATTACAGGCACCCGCCACCACACTCAGCTGACTTTTGGTATTTTTAGTAGAGACAGGGTTTCACCATGTTGGGCAGGCTGGTCTCAAACTCCTGACCTGAGGTGATCCACCCGCCTTGGCCTCCCAAAGTGCTGGGATTACAGGCATGAGCCACTGTGCCCGGCCTAGACTTTATCTTTTACAGCCATTTTAGATTTATAGAAAATTGAGTAGATAGTATAGAAAGAGTTCTTGCTCCCTCACAGTTGCCCCTATTACTAATACCTTACATTAGTATGGTTATAAATGCCATTACAAAATAGCATATAGATGTGCGTGTGTGTGTGTGTGTATGTGTGTGTATGTGTGTGTATATATATATATATAAAATATATAACTTTCCCTTTCTCCATGTTATTTTTATTTTTTATTCCTCTGATAGCTGCTTTTCTTTGTTAGAGAGAGGGTAAGTTAATGAGTATGTTTGGTCACCTTGTAAATAACACTATTTAATACAGGTTTTGTTAATAATGGTTTTCTTAGGCCAGAATTGGTAGGTCACGCCTGTAATCCCAGCAGTTTGGGAGGCCAAGGAGGGCGGTTGACTTGAGGTCAGGAGTTCAAGAGCAACCTGAGCAACATGGTGAAACCACATCTCTACTAAAAATACAAAACCTAGTGTAGGGCATGGTGGCAGGGGCCTGTAATCCCAGCTACTTGGGAGGCTGAGGAGGGAGAATCGCTTGAACCCAGGAGACAGAGGTTGCAGTGAGCCAAGATCGCGCTGCTATACTCTGGCCTGGGCAGCAGCAAGACTCTCTCAAAAAAAGAAAAGTTTTCCGTAGTAGAATTAATTTATATTCTATATAAAGATGCATAAACAAGTTTGTTTCACTGATACTAATATAACACATCTAATCTGCACTTTTTTTTTTTTTTTTGAGACAAGGTCTCACTCTGTTGCCCAGACTGGAGTGCAGTGGCACAGTCACTGCTTACCATAACCTTGACTTCCCAGGCTCAAGCAATCTTCTCATCTCAGCAGCCCAAGCAGCTGAGACTACAGGTGTGCATGCACCACCATGTCTGGCTGATTTTTAAGTTTTTTGTAGAGGAGGAGTCCCACTATGTTGCCTAGGCTGGTCTCAAACTCCAGGGTTCAAGCAATCCTCCCACTTCAGCCTCCCAAAGTGCTTGAATTACAAATATGAGCCACCACGCCTGGCCTTTTTTGCATGTTATATTTGCTTCTTAAAAGTGTTTGATTTTCAGGAAAAAAAAAATTTTTAATTTAAATTTAAAAAATTATGACTTTAAGATTGAAAAAAATAAATAACAAAACATGTTTGATATTCTTTTTTGCTTGTAAGCACCTAAAGTATGTGCATTTATGTACATGTTTCTTATGATATTTACATTGTGTTTTGAATTCTCAGAAATTGTATTATTCTTGTTCCATTGGCATTACTTGCCAAATTCAGGGTTGTTATTTTATTTTTATCCTTTCTAGGCCCAGCTTCAGAGGGAAAAAGAACAAGATCAGATTAAGCTGTATGCAAAACTTGAAAAGCTTGATGTCTTAGAAAAAGAGTGTTTTAGACTTACAACAACTCAGAAAACTGCTGAGGTAAGCTTTCTTTGAAGTGATGACAACAGGAATAAATCTTTAGTGTTAAGCATAATTGGTATTTTATGTGAATGTAGAGTAAATCTTAGATTTATAAAACTTCATTTACAGCTTTTTATAATCCAGATATGAATTCTCACCTATAGAGTGAAAAGTTAATGTGTTCTGTCACAGTATGAATGAGCTAGCTGTCTTTTGATGTGAAATTGTAATTTTGACTTCTAATATGGCGGGATATTTTTATTTGTCAGATACTTTACCTAAAGAGTATTGAAAAATTGTCTTTCACCACTTGTAGTCAACTTAAGCCTATACCAGTTCCCCTCTTCATCCTTTTTCCCTCCAAATCCTTTCCATTTTATAGGGTTTTCTTAGAGTTGTACTCCTCTAGGAAGTCCTCCTTGACCTCTCCAACACTCAGGAAGTTCTCACTTTGAAATGGCACTGTCCTCCTATTCTGAACCACACCACAGATATAAGATATAATACTTACGTATATAAGGTTACATATATATAGTCCCTGTCAAGTTATTTCCTTGCTTTGTTGTTTTATTGTTTTGTGAATATTACTCTTTTTTTCTTTTCATACAATACAGGTTGGGTGTCCCTAATCCAAAAGTCCAAAATCCGATGTACTCCAAAGTCCAAAACTTTCCGAACAGTAATATAATGTTCAGAGGAAATGTTCACTGGAGCATATAGGATTTAGAATTTTTGGATTAGGGATGCCGAACTAGTAATGAAAATATTCCAAAATCCAAAATATCTCTGCTTCCAAACACTTAAGATAAGGGATCCTCAATCTGTATAAGCTCTTAAGTAACAAGGACCACATTGTATATTTCTATTATGTATTTTCACTCTTCTCCCAAAATTACACTCTTATCATATATATGCAAATAGTAGAAACTTATTTTTTTTATGTTTTGAATGAAACATTGAGACCCAAGACTATAATTGTTTGACCTTCTACACCATTAGTACCCTTAAAAGTTTCATCATCATGATTTTGTTGCTGGAAATTAATAAAGCCTATGTGTGTGTATATTCTTTGCTTTCCCTTTGTTTTCTCCTTGTGTGTAATAGAAGGTAAAGGAGCAAAGAAAGAAGTGGGAAGAAAGCCAGGAAAAATCTTAACGTCTTGTGCCATTCCTTTTTCTTATTTTCTGCCTTAATTTGCCAAACTCTTAAGAATCAGGACCCCCTAGGACTCTATTTGGAAAAGAAACAAAGGATATTTGGCTCTAGTTTTTATATGACAATCTTAGTTTTTACTCTTTTGCAGGACAAGATTAAACATTTAGAAGAAAAACTGAAGGAAGAAGAACATCAACGTAAGCTGTTTCAAGACAAAGCTTCTGAGGTAAATATGGCACTATATAATCTATCACAGTAAACCATATATGTTTTATTATATTTTTATTTTCATTAACTGAAACCTATGTTCTAGATTCTAATTTCTGCTTCCTAAATTGTCTTTTCATTATAATAATGAAATTCTCAGTCAGCCAGTATGATACGTGGATGTATTACCAAGAGGTCTTTTAATCTTTTGAAATTCTGACAAATACACATATTCTCAGTTGAAGGAACTCCTAGGATAGATTGTTTTCAGTTTGATCTCTATATGTATATTAAATAATTTATTCTTTTATAAACAGAAAAGTATTGTAATTACCAATAGACTTAGTGACCTTCACACGTATAAAAACAGTATCTTGAATTTTCTTTTCTTCTTCAAAAAGCATTTTTATATTTATAAACTTAGACCTGATATCTCATTACAATGTTTTTGCATGTTATAAATCAATGTTATAACTTTTTAAAAAAATATTACAGCTTCAAACTGGACTTGAAATCAGTAAAATTATAATGTCTTCAGTTTCAAATCTAAAGCACTTCAAGGAAAAGAAGACATCTTCAAAGGTGTGCATATAAAACTTTTTCCCAAACTATACTTTTATTTGCTAATACTGACTTATACACACTCCTAATGCTTATACCTACCCCTTTCCCAAAAGGATTTGAAGATATATAATAAAAGACATGCAATAATGCGTGCCAAGTAATGGATGATGGTTTGGGGTATAAGGACAGAAAATTTCATAATATTCAGATTTTAAAAAGTAGCAGCAGTCATGTACAAAATTTAGCTCTGAGTTTGCTTGACAACCAAACCAAAAAGGAACATATAATGGACGGTATCACTATCTTTGTGAAATAACAGGAAGCACTCCAGTTTTTCTAGAAAGATTAACGTTTTTCTAAACTTCTGGAGAAATATATTTTGTGATACTTTATAAAAGAGGCACTAAACAACACAGTAGATATTGAAAAAATAATAGATCCTGAAAGCAGTTTTATGTAATATATACACAATAAAAAAATAAGGGTTTTCCTTACAGACCTGTTAAGTCTGTAAAGTCATTTATATAGGGAATTTATTGTTATATGTAATTTCTATGCTTATTTCTTCTGAATTTGCCTAAAAGTAAGGATTGGAGAGTTAGTACTTTATAGACCAATATTTTGTTTAGATGAATTGATGTTTTGAGTGTATTCTATTCAAGTAACCCTTCTTAATTATATATAATGGTATGAAAAAAGTTTTTAATCCCTTTTAATCTTATGATTCTGGAATTATGGTTTTGATGGCCATTATTACTATTTATTCAGATATGAATGGAGTGAGTGTTGCTCTGTGTCATTTGCTGTGGGAGACAGGAGATGCTATTTGGGAATTCTGGCCACTGCCATATGCTTAGCTTGTGGATAAAATAATGGAGAGAACATTATACTTAACTTTGGCTACTCTTTTATTACATAAGTAAAAATTAATGTTCAATACTTGGGCTGTATTTTTCATAATTTTTTCATTTTAAAGAATTTTCAAACTATAATAACGAACAATATTTTCCCAATATGACTTATTTTGCCTGTTTCCTTTCCTAAATATTTGTTTTGTGTCTTGTTTGTGCAATGAGATTCACAGCTACAAAACCAAATAGAAAAATCACTGTAAGTAATTTGCCAGTGGAACACATACTGCCCAGTATGTATGTTTTATGGCATCCTTTCTCTGATGAGTTAATGGAACTTTTTTTCAGTTTACCTATTTATTATAAAAATAGTGAAGGTACAGGAAGAAGATAAAAGAAATGAAGGAAAGAAAAGGTAACTCCTGGAAGAGAAGAGAGTATTAACAGCAGAATCATTTCATGGAAGTACTTAGTTCAAATCCCAAGTTCACAGGGTATGCAAATAATGGTGTCTCTTTTTAAAGACGGAGGAAGTGCTAAAGTTGCTGAAAGTAGGATTAGATTTCAGGAAGCCTCTATGAGAGACCTGCTTCCTATCACACTGTTTCTCCATGTCCTGGACATAGTTCATTCAACTCTTACATTTTGATGTACATAGACTGGTATCTCTAGGTGATAAAAAAAATTGGACAGGAATTTGTGAGAAACAGATAAATATATAAGTATGAAACAGTATAATAGAAGATTAATAGAGGTTTAAACAAAGTGTTGTGGTGTTATGTAGACAAAGGAATATGTGAAAGGTAATGCAAGAAGCAATATTAAAGGAAGCCTTGAAGAATTAAATATTGACAGACTGAGATAAGGAAAAATATATTACAGTCTGAGGGAATTGTTGGTTTTTCCAGGGACCTATAAGTAATAGTCCAGTATTGGGGGTGAGATGAGATCATAGTGGAAGTTAAAGTGGAAAATACAGCTTGGGGTGAGCTAATGGCTGACCTTGAATGCCATGTTAAGAGTTTGAACTTTTATTCTATAAACAGGAACTATTGAAGGCTTCTGAGAAAAGTAGGGACATGATTAGAGTTGTAATTTTAGATGGTAACTTACAGCAGTAGGAGAGTTTTACATAGAGAGAAATCACATGTGTAGATTTTGTGAGAGAATCATATGCGTAGATTCATGTCACTATCACAACAATCAAGATACAGAACTCTTCCACCACTAAAAGACTCCTTCATGCAATCCCTCTATAGCTACACATCCCCTTCCCTGAACATTGGCAACCTCTAATCTGTTCACCATCTGTATATTTTATTATTTCAATATTATTATATAAATGGAATTATACAGTATGTAACTTTTTGAGATTGGCTTTTTTCCCTTGAGGTCCATCCAAGTTGTTGTATGTATCAATACATCCTTTTTATTTCTGCGTGATATTCCGCATTACAGATGTACCACAATTTAACTGTTCATCTGTTAAAGGATATCTGGAGTCCGGCATGGTGGCTCATGCCTGTAATCCCAACAGTTTGGGAGGCCAAGGCGAGTGCATCATTTGAGGTCAGGAGTTCAAGACCAGCCTGGCCAATATGGTGAAACCTCGTCTCTACTAAAAATACAAAAATTAGCCGGGCAGTAGTGGCACACACCTGTAATCCCAGCTACTTGGGAGATTAAGGCAGGATAATCGCTTGAGCCTGGGAGACAGAGGTTGCGGTAAGCCAAGATTGTACCATTGCACTCCAGTATGGGTGACAGAATGAGACCCTGTCTCAAAAAAAAAAAGGATATTTCGATTGTTTCCAATTTTTTAGCTATTACAGATAAAGCTGCTATGAACATTTGTATACATGTTTTTATGTGAACATAAGTTTTCATTTTTCTAGGATAAATGCCTAAGAGAGCAATTGTTGGGTCATGTAATAAGTACATTTTTAGTTTTATAAGAAACTGCCAAACTGTCTTCCAAAATGGCTGTACCATTTTGTATTCCCACCAACAATATGTGAGTGGTTTTATTTTCTCTGCATGCTTGCCAACATTTGGTATTGTCACTATTTTTTATTTTGGCCATTCTGATGGATGTGCAGTGATATTTCACTAATTTTAACTTTCATTTCCATAATTAATGATGTTGAATATCTTTTCATATGTTTGCCATACATATGTCTTTGTCAGTGAAATTTCTGTCCATGTCTTTTTGCCCATTTTCCAGTTGCATTGTTTTCTGTTGAGTTTTGAGAGTTCTTCATATCATAAATAACTTTTAAAATAATTTCTTATTTATGTTTTTTTCTTGTCAATCTCTAGAAAACTAAATGTATAAAGAGAGGACCACCTTGGCAAATTTGTTCAAAGTTTGGAGCACTGCCTTTTGTGGCTGAAAAGGTGAGAGGGGATAAAATGAAGATAGTTGTTCAAAAAAACTCCTGTTTCATTGTAAGTGCTATTAAAATATCTTCAGTCATTTAAAATTATTCTCAGTTGTTTCTTTTCCCATAAGTCCACCAGTGCAAACTGTTCTGTGAATGCAAGTATGCAAAACCTTTTGCAGAGGAGGCAACATCGTGGCCCACATATCCTTCAGAAACCTTTTAACGTGGCTGAGACTAGATGTCTCCCCAGGCCTTCTAGAACAACTTCCTGGTGTAAGGCTATTCCTCGTGACTCAGAAAAGTCCATTTCCATTTGTGACAATTTATCTGAACTTTTGATGGCAATGCAAGATGAGCTGGACCAAATGAGCATGTAAGTATTTATATATATATTTTTTAAGAGACAGTGTCTTGCTATGTTGCCCAGGCTAGTCTTGAACTCATGGTTTCAGGCAGTCCTCCTGCCTCAGCCTCCCAAAGTGCTGGGATTACAAGTGTGAGCCACCGTGCCTGGCCAGCAATTTTTATTCTTTATCAGGAGAAGTACCATATCAGTTTTTCTTCTTAGTCTTAAGAACAATACCACTTATAAATTCTTAAAGGCCTTACTTAGCCATTTGGAAAGATTTGTTGTCACTATTTTTCATTGTATTTGTTACTATTTAAAATTTCAGTTCTTTATAACTCCTACTTTTTCATTCTAAGGTATTTCTGTATTCCCAAGATCTGGACTGATAGCTACTACTGTCATTCTAACATATAGGATCTGATGACCTTAGATTAAAACTCACAAAAGCGTTTATAAGAAAAGCTCTCCTTTTGTGTTTTAGAATCTTTTAGCTGAATGAATTATTTAATTAGACAAGTAGGAATGTAATTCCTTGTTTTAGACTCTGGCTGGTCTGCATTACAAATTTTGAAGCATCTATAGTAAGGAAGATTTCCATATGGGATACATTATATTGTGCCCACTTGCTTAAATATATATTCAATAGAAATTCCAGAACTATGTGATTTGGCTGACCAGCTAGTTGACCTAAGACATCTGTAGAAGATACAGCTGTTTCTGTTAACAGCATTTCAGTAGGCTAACTCCAAATCCAGAAATTTTTCAGGCAAATACTTCCACAGCTGGAATTCTTCCAAAGATCCTATATCAATAATGAGGAAGAAAGCCCTTTAATACCTCTGTTAAAGACATCACACATTTTACTACATTGAGCTATGAGCATCAGGAATTCACATATTTTTTAAAGTTGCTTAGCAGTCTTAAGATATTTGTAAAGGTATTTAATTTCAAATCACAGGAGCCTGGTTATAGTTACTGTAGATTTAATTAAACAACCTTAAAGAAAGACGCTGTTTTTAAAGGTTAATATTTAAGTCTGACTAAAATTTATGATTGAACAGAAAATTGCTTAATTATGGCAAAGACATATATGCAATAAACTATAGTAGTGCTTAATATTTGCTATTCTTTCATAGGGAGCACCAAGAACTACTGAAACAAATGAAGGAAACTGAAAGCCATTCAGTCTGTGACGACATAGAATGTGAACTAGAGTGTTTAGTCAAGAAAATGGAAATTAAAGGAGAACAAATCTCCAAACTGAAGAAGCATCAAGACAGTGTAAGAAGGCTTTACTAAGAGATTTTAATAAAAAGATAAAACGTGGATTCAGTGTTGTATCTCTGTACGACTTTCCAAATTTGAGGTCTGTATATGGGATTTAGTGAAAAGATGGATGGTAGTCACTTAGGCCTATGACAGAATAGAGCCATCTGTCCCACTGGAATAACATGGACCTCCTACGTAACTCTCCAAGTTAAAATTTTTTAAGTGAACAAATAGGTTCAGTTATGTATTCAGAAATTGCTTTGGGGAAATTGTGAGGTAAACTAAACTTGCCTTAGCAGCCCTCCAATTACCCTTTTAGCATTCTTTTTCCTCTTCCTTCTCTCCTCTAATGCTTTAATGATACCCCTTATGTCAGCAGGTCTCTTATTCACTACCAGACATAAACCTGGCTCCTAAGCAGTGCCCCAGTCCTTAAAGCATGATTTCCTCTTTCCCAAAACAGGCTGTGTTGTGTTCCATTCCCTGGGGACCTATACTCAGCTAGCTATAGTGAGTAGGACAGGGATGGTGAGGAAAACTCTATACTTCTGTTAAGATGTAATAACTAAGAATAGCTAACAGTTTTATTATTTTAACAGAAAAATCATGGAATATAATATTTAATTCCAAGACAATGACTCCGTAGGTTGAACTTGCAGCACTATTACACTGCTGGAGCAGAAGGCAGAGGGAGCCTTTCCCAGGAACCCTCAAGTCACCTCATGTAGCCATCTGCCTATGGACAAAATCATCATTCATATAAGTTAATGATATATGAATGTCACAAATAAGCCTCCCTGCCTTTTATAGGAAAGTAATAAAAGATGCAGAATATTATTACTTTTATTCTTATTGTGGGAAAGAAAGGAAGAAAGAAAGAAGTGACATTTTTAAAACAAATATTTTTATTTTACTGGCTTTTAAGGCTATAATAAGTAAAAATTTCTGTATGTTTTGGAGTGAAGATTATACAACTTGTACACTTTCTTGAAATTGCATAAGAGAAACTTGAATAGAAGAATGATCATTTTTAAAACTCAGCTAGTATATATATACTGTATTTTGAAAAACATGATATATATTCCATAATAGCTATACCAGTATAAATTTTAAGCACTTTATTATGATAAATGTAATATCTGTAATAAAAATTGATTATTAACTAAATAGAGAACTAGGTACTCACCCAAAGTCTGGGTCAGCTCTACAAATTCGACCTATGCTCAAGTGAAACAGATTAAGTAATGGGTTAGACTTTGAAGAAATGGGTTTTGGCTGGTTGATACGTATTGTTTTTGTTTAATTCTGTCTGCCTCCACTATTACCATATACTACTCAAGGTGATAAAGTTATTCCCTTGACTTTTTTTTAAACTGCCATTCAGGAGTACTTTAAATTCAGGAATATACAAAAGTATTTGTACACAAAGGTATTCCTGAATTTAAAGTACTCCTGAATGGCAGTTAAAAAAAACACACATATTTATACACACACACATATATATACACATACATACACACACGTGTGTGTATGTATAATTTTCAAAACTTGATACTCATTCCTAGAACCAATTATTAGATTTGCTGTTAATGTTACCAGAAAAGTTCTTCTCTCTGCTCTCTGTTCTCTGGTTTTTACCAGTTATCTTACATACAACCTTTCCCCCCAGTCTCTGCAGCCCACGTTGACCTTATCTTACTTTGGGCTTCTTACATATACACTTTTTGTCTTATTCAAAGTTATCCTGGTTCATTGTATTCTCTAGTTGTCACATATATGCTTTTTTTCACTAATAGGAGCAGTAAGCTCCTTGAAAGTAAGAACTGTTTTCTTCATTATAATTCTACCTGACAAGCACAGTGTTAGGCATGTAATAGATGTTCAATAAATTAAAAACTTACCGAATTGAACTTTTTAATGTTCAGTTTTAACTTTTTAACTTTAAACCATCAATTCAACCTATTTTGGAATATATTTTTAGTATATTTTTGACTAAAATGTTAGATTTTTTTTTCTCTCCAGGTCCGTAAACTGCAGCAAAAAGTTCAAAACTCAAAGATGAGTGAAGCTTCAGGTATTCAGCAAGAAGACAGCAACCCTAAAGGATCAAAGAACATAAAAAATAGCCCCAGAAAATGTTTGACTGACACTAAACTTTTTCAGAAAAACAGCAGCTTTCATCCAATAAGAGTTCATAATCTTCAAATGAAATTGAGAAGAGATGATATCATGTGGGAACAGTAACAAAATAGCAAAACTGTCACCTTAATGAACTTTGTCAATGAGACCTTGAATTGTCTAAAGTGGTTTTAATTTAATATAACTTTGTGACATTTTGAATCATGTTTCTAGCTTCTATAAGACATGAAGTTGCAGTATTTTTAAATTAATGCCTAATGACCTACTGGGTTCCAAATAATAAATTAATTGCTTTTTTGTTTTTCTTATTGATTGAAGCCTATAACCTCATCTTGTCTTAGAAACATTGTTTGCTTTGCAGATATCTTAAGCTAAATTTGAGAAATTGTACTAGATTGACAATATTCAAAATTGAGTTAAATCTGAGCTACAAGTACCATTCATTCCACTTTTCATAGGTTTGCAACCTTAAAAACAAATGTTAAATGAACAGAGTTCAGAAAGATCATTTAGCTTTCCTGGTGTCTTCTTTCTATTTTGTTTTAAAGCTGTGAAATGTTTTTCTCTTTTGGAAAAGGAAAAGCTTAACAATTAGACAGTTTTATGAAGAAGGCTTTAATCCAAGTTTTATGAGACAATAGGAACCCATAGCTACTTAATTTTTAGGAGACAGTAATTCAGTTGCAGAAGTTTTCATCTGCTATTCCCATTCTCTTTTACAAAACTAGTTTTTTTAAAAAAAATAATGATCCATTTTATCTTACTACTTTATAACTTTTGCTGACTTCTATTCTTTGCATTGTATGTAATGTCCATCAGTATAAATTGAGACTGAATTTCTAGGACCCACAAAAGTGGTATTTTTTTTTTACAAGAAAGTATGGAGGAAGAGGAAGCTGGACATTAAATTACCTCATCCAGCAGAAATTCAGGGTAGTATGGTCTATTTTAATTTTTTATATTTTAAAATCAATAATGTCAAAAAATGTCATTGTGTATGCATGCTTTGTAATAAATTTGCACTTGATCGTTTTTCTGAGTGCCTAGGGGAGCTAGTATGACTCTCCTGAACTCTTGGTTTCTCACTCAAATCCTCTGAAGCAGCTGGGGGACTAGAGTCATGAACTGAAGTAGAAATAGAGGACAGACAGAAAAGGTGTAATGGGATGGAGGAGCTCAAATATAGGGTAGCAGTTTAAGAGATGGTGATTCCTAAGGGACAGAGTTGGAAGTACGTATTTACTGAATTCTTTGAATCCACAGCTGATGGAGTGTTCAAGCTATAGATGTGAAAGAATTTTTAGGTCAGGATCTTGGGAAGCTAAGGAGAGCAGTTTTTTAAAGACAGTTTTTCTGTTTTCCTAGGTAATTCGCAAGAAGCTTGTGTAGGAAAAAGTTGGTAATTATGGATCTTTTGGGGAGGAGGAGAACTATAATTCATTCTAATGGTGAGAAGAGATACCATGTTAGAAGACCTTCCATACCTGGAAGTGGGGCGGTGACTGAAGATGGGCACGTTGATACTTGGAATTGTCCTTGAAAGCAGTTAATGGCAGAGATCAAAATTTCCTCCTGGTGTAAATAGTGCATGTGCTCTTTGCCAACTTTCACCCTCCTCATTCACATCCTTAGCTCCTCAGCCCTGGAGATGTTCCATAGGGTGTTTGATCTAAACTCAGTTGTATCACCTTACCTGTTTTTCTACTTTGCCTTTCCTCCTTGAGGATATGAGTTTTATAGTTTAAGCTTAGCTTTGTGCTAAACTTCTTAGCTTTCTGCTATCCACCAGGACCATAATGCAGACCTATAGTTCTGTGGTTTTGTTTTCTATACATTGAGGAAGGTGGCTGAATATATTTAGTTATTAATAAAGTCATTACTTGTGAAGATGTATTGCTTTAAAAATTATCATTAAAAATTTAAAAACCGGCCAGGCACGGTGGCTGACACCTGTAATCCCAGTACTCTGGGAGGCTGAGGCAGGCGGATCACAAGGTCAGGAGATCGAGACCATCTGGGCCAACATGTGAAACCCCATCTCTACTAAGATACAAAAATTAGCCGGATGTGGTGGCACATGCCTGTAATCCCAGCTACTTGGGAGGCTGAGGCAGGGGAATCGCTTGAACCCGGGAGATAGAGGTTGCAGTGAGCTGAGATCGCACAACTGTACTTCAGCCTGGTGACAGAGCAAGACTCCATCTCAAAAACAAAAACAAACAAACAAACAAAAACATTTTAGGAACATGGAATATTTCAGCTGACAATTTTCTTAAAAATTAGTCCAGTGTAGTAGAAAAAACCACGACTTCAGAGCTGGGAAACTTGGTTTCAAATTCTGGGACTCCAACATTTAATAGCTTGGACAAGTCAAATAACTTTCTGGAGCCTCAGTTTCTCATCTGTAAAGTGAGGATTATACTATTATATCTCTCACAGGACTATACTAATTTGTTGTGAGGAGTTAATGAAATAACATGGGAAAGCACCCAGCAGAAGAGTTGGCACTTATTAAAAACTCAATAAATATTTTTTGAATCTGAGTGGCAAAAAAAAAAAAAAAATGTAGAATACATGTTTGCATGGGTTGAAGCCTAAAAGCAAACACCTAAATATATTGTTGGTAAATGTGGGAATAGTCTCACTTATTTTGGTTTTTGTCTCTTCCTGTGTGCCTGAAGGGAAATGGCTTTGGCATCTTTCCTAGCGCAGGTTTCTAATGGGAGGGGGTAAAGAACACAGTCCTATCATGGTGCTGAAATATATAACCACACACAGCAAATTGGTTTGGAGTATGGTGTGGTTGTTGAGGTGAAATGTATTATTGAGAGGCAACGAAGAATGGTGTCTTGTTGCTTCATCACAGCTACTGAGCTCACAGACTGCCTGCTTGCCAGAGCCTTTGACTCCTCGGGGTGGAGCAAAAGATTTCTTTCCTGGGTGGAGCAGTCTGTCTATGGTCAGTGTACAAGAGTTGCTATAGCAACCTCACAGCTGTGCTCTGTCTAGCAGAAACTTGGTATGATTTCACAGATTTTGTTCACTTAAGTAAAAAACAGAGTTGTTTGGTTTTTATGTAATTAGAAATTGAAATAATGGAATTGGAATTTTCTAACCAAGGCAGGTCTCAATTTTGATGAAACTGAAGCCAGAAAGTTCTAGTGTTTGAAGCAGCAGGTATTGTGACTATATTCTGATACTGGAAATGGGAGTTGGAATCCTGAATAAGCTGTACTTGGGTAGATCATTGGCAACCCAGCTATTTTTATTAGGTTGTAGATAAAGACAGGAGGGTCAGAGGGAAATGTTCAGTTTTCAACAATGTAAGATTAAAGTGGGAGATACTTAGTACATAGTCAGCTAACTGGCTGGGATAATGTAGACAATGTAGTTTTTTTGGTGGCTTTCTTACTTTATTTGTTTTTCTTTTTCTTTTTTTCTATACCTGCAGGTAGATGTGAGAGCTGTCTTACTTTAAAAGTATAATTTTAACTATAAATGTATACTCTTTTTTTCTTTTTTTCTTTCTTTTTTTTTTTTTTTTTTTGGTGGGGATGGAGTCTCGCTGTGTCGCCCAGGCTGGAGTATAGTGGCACGATCTCAGCTCACTGCAACCTCCGCCTCCCAGGTTCAAGCGATTCTCCTGCCTCAGCCTGGCGAGTAGCTGGGATTACAGGCACCTGCCACTACACCCAGCTAATTTTTGTATTTTTAGTAGAGACGGGGTTTCACCGTGTTAGCCAGGATGGTCTCGATCTCCTGACCTCAGGTGATCTCCCCGCCTCAGCCTCCCAAAGTGCTGGGATTACAGGCATGAGCCACCGCACCCGGCCTAAATCTGTATTCTTAATCCATGATAAGACATCAAAAATTAAATTAAAATTTTACTTGTAATGTGAGAACTCAGTCTAAGGGGGGAAGAGGCCAGTTGGTTATGCACAATGGAAAGTGTGTGCATTGCAGACAGAAATGCAACAGCTGCCATTATTGGTGTAGAGTAAATAGTGAAACTCCTAATGGGGTTTCCTGGAACTCTATTCAGCTGTAACTAAAGCTTTACCTACTGAGAACATTTAATTGTAGGTGATGTTTAGATAAGTACAAGCCGACTCTTAGACATATGACAAGACAACCCTCACTAAGGCATAATAGCAACTGTGAGATTTTTTAAAAACTCTTTAGTGCTATTGCACCTTTTAATTAAAGTGAGATGAGGATAAATAAAAGTAATATTGACTGTCACTCATCTGAAAATAAATTTAGTTATTGGTAATTAAATAGACCTTATCAATGCCTCAGCCTTTTTCTTCATATTCCATCTACTTGTTTTCATGTAACTTTCTCTTTCAATTCGTTTTTTGTTTTTTTTTTTTCATGTAAGGAGAATTAGACATAGAAAAATTATAAATTTAAGACTTAAAATAATGTCTGGACCAGAGTTTGTTGTTACTTTTGCTGTAGATTGTTTTCTTAAGGAATTAGGTGAATTTTTTTTTTTCCTGGTAGGTTTATTGGGAGTGTTCTCATTATTGATATAGATGGATCCCGTTCCCATTTGGGGCCGAGCTCTGTGGCTTGTGCCTGAAATCCCAGCACTTTGAGAGGCTGAGGCAGGCAGATCACCTGAGGTCAGGAGTTCAACACCAGCCTGGCCAACGTAGTGAAACCCTGTCTCTACTGAAAATACAAAAAACATAAAAAACATTAGCTGGGCGTGGTGGCATGCAGTCCAGCTACTCGGGCGGCTGAGGCAGAATAATTCCTTGAACCTGGGAGGCGGAGGTTGCAGTGAGCCGAGATTGTGCCACTGCACTCCAGCATGGGCAACAGAGTGAGACTCTGCCTCAAAGCAAAAAAAAAAAAAAAAAGGAATAGCCCAGTATTGTTTGTTTGGGGAGGGGCAGGGTGTGGTTCCACCAACAGTGGGCACCAGAATGGTGCTTGCTTTGATACTATGCTAAGAGGAAGAGGTTTGAGAGCCAAGAGTCCTTTATTTGGATATTGGTATCCAATAAATAAAACTTGTTCATCAGTACGTATTTATTGATCTCTAATTATTGATCTCAGAATACTGTACTAGCTACTATGGAATTCTGTTTTCAAGTTGCTTATAGTGTTGAGGAGAGATAAGACATATATATTTAAAAGGAAGAAAACAGTAAGTGACATGAAAGGCATAATGACTACCACATAGCGGATGCTCAATAAATATTTGCCTACTAAATATTTGTTCTCGTCTACTGATAAAGTGCTTTAGAAGTTGGCCTGTTTGTAATTTCTTCATTTTCTAACTATCTTGATTTATATACCTTCACCTTTTTAAATTTTTTGCTTGGTAGCAGTATTGGTCTAGGATTTTCACTCCTCATTAAGCTTCTTGATTGAAAATACCAGTTCCTTTAATAATTTCAAACATATGCTGGCCATAGCCAGTCTGTAATCAAATTCAAAGGCATGAGTGGAAACAGTGGGTATGAAACAATGAGGTAAATGGAGAAATGGGGGAAAATCAAGCAATAATGACTTAGACTAAAACAGAACAGTAAGAATTATACAGAAAGGTTATATTCTAGAGGCCAACTATTGACCTGCACAGAATTATACAAAGGATTGCCATTCACTTTCCTTATGAACTTAAGCCCCTCAATTTCTACATACTTCAGCCTCCTCATTGGTTGGATCCAGTCAGTATTTTTCGTACTATATACAGTCATATCCTACTGGTGGATTGTTGAATCAATTTAGCAGGTCACTACCGTTTTTTTGTTTTGTTTTGTTTGAAATTGGAGTCTTGCTGCTTTGCCAGGCTGGAGTGCAATGGTGCAATCTCATCTCACTGCAACCTCCGCCTCCCAGATTCAAGCAATTCTCCTGCCTCAGCCTCCCAAGTGGCTGGGATTACAGGCGTGTGCCACTATGCCCAGCTAATTTTTTGTGTTTAATTATTAGAGATGGGGTTTCACCGTGTTGCCCAGGCTGATCATGAACTCCTGAACTCAGGCAATCTGCCCACCTCGGTCTCCCAAAGTTCTGG